AGAGATGAAGAGAGATCTAGAAGAGATGAAGAGAGATCAAGAAGAGATGCAGAATGGAAATCAAGAGAGATGAAGAGAGATCAAGAAGAGATGAAGAGAGATCTAGAAGAGATGAAGAGAGATCAAGAGAGATGAATAATGGAAATCAAGAGAGATGAAGAGAGATCAAGAAGAGACGAAGAGAGATCTAGAAGAGATGAAGAGAGATCAAGAGAGATGAATAATGGAAATCAAGAGAGATGAAGAGAGATCAAGAAGAGATGAAGAGAGATCTAGAAGAGATGAAGAGAGATCAAGAGAGATGAAGAGAGATCAAGAAGAGATGAAGAGAGATCTAGAAGAGATGAAGAGAGATCTAGAAGAGATGAATAGTGGAAATCAAGAGAGATGAAGAGAGATCAAGAAGAGATGAAGAGAGATCTAGAAGAGATGAAGAGAGAAGTAGAAGAGATGAAGAGAGATCAAGAGAGATGAATAATGGAAATCAAAAGAGATGAAGAGAGATCAAGAAGAGATGAAGAGAGATCTAGAAGAGATGAAGAGAGATCAAGAGAGATGAATAATGGAAATCAAGAGAGATGAAGAGAGCTCAAGAAGAGATGAATAGAGATCTAGAAGAGATGAAGAGAGATCAAGAAGAGATGCAGAATGGAAATCAAGAGAGATGAAGAGAGATCAAAAAGAGATGAAGAGAGATCTAGAAGAGATGAAGAGAGATCAAGAAGAGATGCAGAATGGAAATCAAGAGAGATGAAGAGAGATCAAGAAGAGATGAAGAGAGATCTAGAAGAGATGAAGAGAGATCTAGAAGAGATGAAGAGAGATCAAGAGAGATGAATAATGGAAATCAAGAGAGATGAAGAGAGATCAAGAAGAGATGAAGAGAGATCTAGAAGAGATGAAGAGAGATCTAGAAGAGATGAAGAGAGATCAAGAGAGATGAATAATGGAAATCAACAGAGATGAAGAGAGATCAAGAAGAGATGAAGAGAGATCTAGAAGAGATGAAGAGAGATCAAGAGAGATGGAATAATGGAAATCAAGAGAGATGAAGAGAGATCAAGAAGAGATGAAGAGAGATCTAGAAGAGATGAAGAGAGATCTAGAAAAGATGAAGAGAGATCAAGAGAGATTAATAATGGAAATCAAGAGAGATGAAGAGAGATCAAGAAGAGATGAAGAGAGATCTAGAAGAGATGAAGAGAGATCTAGAAGAGATGAGAGATCAAGAGAGATGAATAATGGAAATCAACAGAGATGAAGAGAGATCAAGAAGAGATGAAGAGAGATCTAGAAGAGATGAAGAGAGATCAAGAGAGATGAATAGTGGAAATCAAGAGAGATGAAGAGAGATCAAGAAGAGATGAAGAGAGATCTAGAAGAGATGAAGAGAGAAGTAGAAGAGATGAAGAGAGATCAAGAGAGATGAATAATGGAAATCAAGAGAGATGAAGAGAGATCAAGAAGAGATGAAGAGAGATCTAGAAGAGATGAAGAGAGATCAAGAGAGATGAATAATGGAAATCAAGAGAGATGAAGAGAGATGAAGAGAGATCAAGAAGAGATGAAGAGAGATCTAGAAGAGATGAAGAGAGATCAAGAGAGATGAATAATGGAAATCAAGAGAGATGAAGAGAGATCAAGAAGAGATGAAGAGAGATCAAGAAGAGATGAAGAGAGATCAAGAGAGATGAATAATGGAAATCAAGAGAGATGAAGAGAGATCAAGAGAGATGAAGGATGGAGATCAAGAGTGATAAAGGGCATGGAGGGTTCTCGGAGCATCCAACTTCACAGCCCAGGAGACTGACGCAGCCACGGAGTGCGGCTTCATTGAGACCTTGACAGTTGACAATGAGCAATGCTTCTCTCCCGCCATTTTCTATAGCATCGTGACACTCGGCCGAGTAGCTTCCACGCCTTAGAGCCTTAGATGTTTCCGCAAGCTTACACTTACACTGCGCTTACAGAGTGGGACTGGATCTCTGTGTGGAGCGTAGACAACTGAGATCAACTAAGGGGAGTTCCACTCTTATGCTGTTGCGTTGGCTTTGTTTGCTGCCACTCGGCTGATCAAACCGATTAAGACTCAGCCTTTGGGATCGACAGACTTTCAACTACGCTGCTACGCTTGACAGCCAGGTTACTTCAAATGCAGACGACCAACGAAAGGAAAGCTGAAACTTCAAGATCAAAAAGGTGATGCACATGTAGCTGGGCTTTAGAGAGTCAGTATGACGTCATCTATCAAAAAGCCAGCAGAATCCAGTATCCAGCAAAGTTTTCGTAGATGGCATATTCAAATTGTTGAACGTGCGCATTGGGAATAGCAAGGCACTAAAACAATGCTTTGGACATCTTTGGACAGAGTAGGCATCGTTTGATCCACAGTTCGCAGCCACATTTTGCAAGGAATTCGAATTCCAAGTGGGAAAGGCGATGACACATGCAGGCTGCTTTGGCTTGTGCGGAGACATGGGGGGGCAAAATAAAAAGAGCATTTCGAAGGCTTTTGGGAGCAGTCAAGCCAAAGGACAAAGGCAGGTGGGACTAATGTGTCACCAAAGAGGGTAGACTTACTTAGAATGGGTAGAAGAAATATCCAAGCAGTACAGTCACGTCACTTGGATGTGCCTGGCCGGCATCCAAATGTGCAGAGGGGAAGACCATGGAAGTGACCCTGCACCTCGGCATGGCAAGAGCAGGACCTTGGCACAGCCAGCGACAACTGCGTCACAAGTCGCCTAGTTGTGATATGTCCATTGGTTTCCTGTGCCCACTCCACCTCAAAGCTTGGGTGCCGCAATATTATGTGTGCACAAAAAATTGGAGAATTGAAGCTACGTAAGTTTTCAAGTGAGTGATTTTTTTTTTTGCCACCCTGTACTTTGATATCTTGGACCTTTGCCAAAATAAAGTGTCGGGAGCTCTTGTGGCAAAATACCGAGCCATTTGAAGTTAGGAGCTCGTCTGTAATGCGCGCAGCATCCGGGCGCCACTTCCAAAAATGGTGGCTGTACGACTGTGCGGTATTTGCAATGGTTTCAGCCAGTCTAGGACACACGATGTTTTCTGGACACACGATGATGTTGTTGCAATCCTAAGAGAGCAAGCGATGGACCAAAAAGGCTTGAAATGACCATGACTATGATAATTAAATGATATTGGACAAAACCAATCAGAATCCCTTGGGGAGACGGGCAACGTGCGCGATACTTCATTGACGTTCAGTGAATTCAATGCTGGGTTTGCGTGTCCATGGACGATCGAATCACTTCTTATTTGTTTTGAGTCATTTGAACTATCGGACTGGAGGCCTCCATAGGAATCGATGTACCATCTTGGCATATCTTGGAGAATTTGTGATTTGCTGCGCCAAGAAGTTGGAACAAGGCAAAAGCCAAAATATTTGTGAAATGGGATGTGGATATAGAGACTTGGTGTGCAATTCAGACTGTTGCTCAACAGACACGGATCGCCTCAGAAGGGAAGTGGCATTCCTCAGTTTCTGCTGAATAGATCACAATTTGGGCAAGAGCTGCATTTCACCCTCAAAGTGCCTAACGTACGTACAAATATTTTGCATATTTTGCCAGCTTGCCTTCTTTGCCAATGACGGATTGAGGAGCAAGCGAAGCAAACCGACTATGATTATGTGAAGTCGCGCTACCTGGCAAACCTAAGACGTTTGGAGAACTACATGTGCCATACATTTACCAGGTTTGGCATGTCAGGCCTGTCCATCATCTCATCTGACGTGAGTGCAACCGACAAGATTTGACTGAGTTAAACACTTGTGGCAGAGTCATGTGCCGTTGTGAGCACATTGCCAGCGTGGCGAGCATGGCCATGCTTCCAAGGAAGCGGAGTCAATGTTACTGGCACTGGGCTTTTGCTCACAACAGCGGCTCAAGACACAAAGACCTGTGGCAGCATTGCAGTTGGTTTTTCATTTTCTGGTGCTGCGATGTTTTTGCCAAAACTTGTAGAAACTGTACATGCAAGTTCTCAACCCATTGGATCCAGGATGCTAATTTAGATACCTTTACATTCCCTCAGACCAGTGTGAGTGTGAGGGCAGTTGACGAGTTAAGTGGACAAGCAAAGAAGCACTAGGGAGAAAGTACTAAGCAGCCCAGCTCAACAATCTAGTTCAGCAGGTCCTCAATGGGACCCGTCAAAAAACTGCACTGCAACCTTCCCGGCCTAAGAAGAAATAATGAACATTTTCCCGACAATAGCTCCCAAAGCGGTCAGCGCGAATACAGTCGCTCAAGTTGGTCCAAGTCGGTGTCACGACAATACAGGACCTCTGACATGCAGGATGACGGTATGACAATGATTGATTAGATAATACTTGTATCACCAGAAGAGCTTTGCAGCAGGTTTGGCTGCTAACTTCGGGACACGGCATGCAACACGAAAACACGATGCAGAGTCGCAACAAGTTGTGTCCGGAAGTAAAGGCCCCCGATACCCACTGGCCTAGCTGGTCTGGAGCTGCCACACAGGTTTCTCCGGGTCTTAGGCAAAACGTCACAACGAGTAGCAATAAAGTCACCATAAGTGCTTAGATGACTCAGAAGTGCAGTGTTTTCTGGAAGCGCCGGTCTGGGCGACGACTTGCGGAAGGGTTTACCTTGGAAGAATTCGGCAAAACCCCCAAGTAAAATGAAAACTATCCCGGCAAGAGACCCCAAACAGTGTGGGGGGAGTAAAAAAGATCATGATTATAATGTCGATGAGATGTTAATGTTGATGATGATGTGTGATGATGATGATGACGAACGACGACGACGAGACGACGGACGGATGACGGACGATGATGATGAGATGACGATGAGATGATTGATGATGATGATGATGATGATGATGATGATGATGATGATGATGATGATGATGATGATGATGATGAGACGATGACGATGATGATGATGATGATGATGATGATGACGATGACCGATGACGATGACGAGGAGGGACGATGATGATGATGATGATGGTGATGATGATGATGATGAGACGACGATGATGTGATGATGACGATGATCACGACGATGATGACGACGATGATGATGATGATGACGATGATGACGACGATTGATGACGACCGACGATGATGATGATGATGATGACGCTGGATGTGACGACGCCGACGATGACGAGCGATGATGACGATGATGATGATGATGATGATGACGTGATGACGACAATGATGACGACGATGTGATGATGATTGATTATGATGATGACGATGATACGAAGATGATGACGACGATGCTGGTGATGATGATGACGAGGAAGACGACGATGATGCGACGAGATGATGATGATGACGGATGTGAGACGACGAGACGACGACGATGATGATGATGATGATGATGATGATGATGACGATGATGACGATGATGACGATGATGATGATGACGACGATGATGACGACGATGATGACGACGATGATGATGATGATGACGATGGTGACGACGACGATGACGACGATGATTGTGATGATGATGATGATGATGATGATGATGATGATGTGGATGTTGAGGAGTAGGAAGACGATGAAGTTGAGGATGATGATGATGATGATGATGATGATGATGATGACGATGTGGATGTTGAGGAGGAGGAAGATGATGAAGTTGAGGAGGATGATGATGATGATGATGACGATGATGTGGATGTTGAGGAGGAGGAAGATGATGAAGTTGAGGAGGATGATGATGATGATGATGACGATGATGTGGATGTTGAGGAGGAGGAAGGTGATGAAATTGAGGATGATGATGATGATGATGACGATGATGTGGATGTTGAGGAGGAGGAAGATGATGAAGTTGAGGAGGAGGAGGATGATGATGATGATGACGATGATGTGGATGTTGAGGAGGAGGAGGAGGAAGATGATGAAGTTGAGGAGGAGGAGGAAGACGGATCCCAAGACCGGGAAGCACACTCTGTGCGAGCCTGCGCAGTCGAAATGCACACGGACATGTCACAAGAGGCATTTTGTGCGGACATTTGGAGGGAAAATGCCGGACGCTTCCGATACCACCTCGATTGAACACTGGGCCTTAGCACCTACCGTAAGAACCCCTCAGTGTTGACACTGTTTGGGGAAAAATGGACATGAGTAAAGATAATAGAAGCATTTACGCTTGTTTGAATTATTCTGAACATATCTAAACCCATATATTATATATAGACCCAATTCTCACATTGTTACTGTATATAACACTGTATAACACTGTATATAAAATATGAAACCGAATATGAAAATATATGAAAGAATTGTACATAGATTTTGATAGAATGTGAAACTTTTGTACAAACTTTTGATAGGCATCTATCGTCTCTTCTTTCTCCGCGCCAAGGAGCGAGAAGAGTAATTCTCCTCGAAGTGTGCGCAGTCGAAAGCTGACTGAGGCAGGTCCAAGTGTTCAGATACGGGATTGTATCAAACAGCAACATCTCCCACAAACAAAAAACTAATTGTCTCAGACTTGATTAAATTATAGGTGCATTATTTTTGTATCACGGGTGGTTTTTGCTTATTAAACTCAGCTGGGTGAGGCTCAGTTATACGTATCCTGTAATGCTCCTCAAAAGCCTACCCGCCCTTTCGCCAAATCTGGACAAACTCTCACGATTTGACATCTTGTTTTCTCTTCCCATGGTTCAACCAAAATCAATCCCTCAGTATTTAATGTTCAATATGTTCATTCAAATTCATTGAAAATTGTCCTTCGAAATTTCTCAAACTTTGCTGAGGCCGAAGAGGAAGCCGAACAGACCTTCAAGGAAACCACGAATGATGTTCACCACGAGGCTACATTTGCAAAGGGCGACCATGGTGTCAAATGTGTCAAACCAGGTGTGTCAAGTCGTCAGGGAATGCGACTGTGCGGGTGCAGAATCTAATTGCGGCAATTTTTGACCTCAGGACTTCGAGGTGGAGGTGGTCGAAGAAGAGACAGATCTGCCCAAAAGATCTATCTCAGGCATTGGCTACGAAGCTTATGGAGATAGTGCTCACATTGAATACTTTTCTGCAACGCACAACAAGTGGCTGCTTGGCAAGCATGGGGTCAGATGTCAGATGATTCTTCCAGCATCTCGCAGCAGTTTGGGAATGTTTGGGATGAGACCGATGAGATTTCCGACCATGGCTCTGCCTGAAAGGTTGCAAGGATGTATTCAGGGGACTGGCAGCCTTGTAGAGGATGGGAAGACCATGATACCTGTATACACGATCGTGCTCTTTGGAGGGGCCCACAAGCAGGTGCGAGACTTTGTGGCTTGGTCTGCAATTGATCGAACGTATCGAACAGCCACGAACAGCCGCTTCATGACTGATTGACTTTGTATCCTTATTCCGCTCCAGAAACAGACGTTTTCCATCGTCTTCTGGTTGCCACGGGCAGTACTCGCTGTGCAGTCTGTCACTTGCGGTGCTTAGAGTCTTGGTGCTAGGTTGGTACCAGCTTGCTGCGGGCACCCCTGAAAGTGCGTGATCCTGTGAGCATCCAGCTTGGCAAGACCGAGGACAAGCGGCAAATTGATACAGCTTTGACCAAACAGACATCTCAACATGGACTTGCTCATGGATCTGATGGAGTATTCATGCCATATCATGCCATCATATTCAATCAAATGTCATGACTGTCGTCGAGGACTGGAGACCTGGTGTTGTGAAGTCAAGACAATCTTTCCCACTAGGCTGGGACTCAGACCGTCTCTGTTTTTTCCGAATTGACCTATGTGGGCATTCTCCACTGATGATGTATTGCTGAAGTTGAATTGATATCAAATCTGCAGACTTGCAGCACGGTACGCCTTGAAAACCGTCTTCAAGTCCAGATACTAGACCATGCAGGTGTTTCCAATATCTTCAAATTCACTGAGTTCTGATTCTGTGAGTGTGCGATTTATGGCAAAAACTAGCAAACAGCACTGAAAAGCAAAGTTGCCTGACCAGGTTGCGTCATAATTATATTGATTGCATCACACCATACATAATGTATTGCATTTGACTGGTTTCACTGTTTGGCCGTCGGAGATCAAATTGGCAGGCTATGAAGTTGAACTGCTTGAGACCCATCCATTGATCGATGGGAACACTACAAAGGTGCCACCAGATGCTTCGCTGAGAAATTCTGCGCAGAAATTTCAACGGCCTGACTACAGTAGCAACTCACACTTTGCTCGCAGTGATTTTGAAACAGTTTCATTTTTGTCACGAAAGCCAGCCGCTAGTCTAGGCGAAGTTCCTTTTGCGAACAAAGTGAGTTATAGGGGGGGTCTGGGGGTAGAGCGCGCCAGGAGGTTACAAAATCACGAATTAGGTGGAGTGGGAGGCGTGCCAATTGGAACTTTTTGAGGGCTATGTGCCAGGTGGGAATTGGGTGACGGTGGGGTATCGATTCCTCCCTGGTCCGTCCTCAGAGGTGCATGTGGGGAGACTGGAATCGAAGGGAAAAACCATCGAAAAGTCGGGTAAAACCATGGAAAAGTCGCGTAAAACCATGGAAAAATCGAGTAAAACCATGGAAAAATTGATTAGCAATTTTTGTGAAATTAGGAAGCTTTGGAAAGGGGTGACGAAAATATGAGGTGAGGAGGGCAGAGACAAGGTTCCGTGAATGGAGGCACAGCCGCTATGGAGAAGAAACTTCTGTCGGTATAGGATGTGCAATTAGGAAACTTTGGAAAGGGGTGATGAAAATATGAAAATATGAGCGTAAGGATCCTTGAAAGTCTGAGGGCGAAAAGTTTGCGGGTGAAACGTCTGTGGGTGAAAAGTCTGTGGAAGCAGAGTCTCTGGGAGAGGAGTCTGTGGGTGAAAAGCATAGGTGAAACGTGTATGGGTGAAAAGTCTGTGGGTGAAAAGTGTGACAAAGCTGTGCGTTAAAAAGTCTGTGGGTGAAAGTCTCTGGGCGAAAAGTGTGTGGGTGAAAAGTGCGCGGGTGAAAAACCCGTGGGTCAAAAGTATATGGGTGAAACGGGTATGGATGAAAAGTCTGAGGGTGCAAAGTTTGTGGGTGAAAACTCTGTGGGCGAAAAGTGTATGGGTGAAAGTCTGCGGGTGAAAAGTCTGCGGGTGAAAAGTCTGTGGGTGAAAAGTCTATGGGTGAAAAATATATGGGTGAAAAGTCTGAGGATGCAAAGTTTGTGGGTGAAAACTCTGCGGGCGAAAAGTGTATGGGTGAAAGTCTGCGGGTGAAAAGTCTGCGGGTGAAAAGTTTGTGGGTGAAAAGTCTATGGGTGAAAAATAATGGGTGAAAAGTTTCTGGGCAAAAAGTTTATGGGTGAAAAGTATATGGACGAAGAAAAGTATATGGGGGAAAAGCCTGAGGGATCCTGAGGGTAAACAAAAATATATTGGTGAAGAGTCTCTGGGTGAAAAGTCTGCGGGTGAAAGGTATATTTATATGATTGAACATTCTGTGGGTGAAAAGTATATGGGCGAGAAGTATATGGGTGAAAGACTGTGGGTGAAAAGTGTATGGGGGAAAAATCGAAGGTAAACTATATTGGTGAAGAGTCTCTGGGTGAAAAGTCTGTGGGTGAAAAGTGTGTGGGTGAAAAGTTCGTGGGTCAAAAGTATACAGGTGAAACGGGTATGGGTGAAAAGTCTGAGGGTGCGAAGTCTGTGGGTGAAAAGAGTGTGGGTGAAAAACATGTGGGCGAAAAATGTATTGGTGAAAGTTTGTGGGTGAAAAGTACATACGTGAAAAGTCTGTGGCTAACAAGTTTGTGGGTGAAAAGTGTGCGGGTGATAAGTTCGAGCGTATGGGTGAAAATCTGTGGGTGAAAAGTATATGGTTGAACAGTCTGCGGGTGAAAAGTATATGGGTGAGAAATAAATGGGTGAAAGACGGTGGGTGAAAAGTATATGGGGAAAAAATTGAGGGCAAACAGTATATTGGTGAAGAGTCTCTGGGTGAAGAGTCTGCGGGTGAAAAGTATATGGTTGAACAGTCTGCGGGTGAAAAGTATATGGGTGAGAAGTATATGGGTGAAAGACAGTGGGTGAAAAGTCCCTGGGTGAAAAGTCTGTGGGTGAAAAGTCGGTCGGTGAAAAGTATGTGGGTGAGACAGGCATGGTGAAGAGTCTGAGGTGCAAAGTCTGTGGGTGAAAAGTCGTGGGCGAAAAGTGTATGGGGGAAAAGTCTCTGTGTGAGAAGTATATGGTTGATCCGTCTGTGGGTGAAAAGTATATGGGTGAGAAGTGTATGGGTGAAAAGTCTGTGGGTGAAAAGTCTGTGGAAAAAGAGTCTCTGGGTGAAGAGTCTCTGGGTGAAAAGTACATGGGTGAAAAGTCTGTGGGTGAAAAATCTCTGGGTGAAAAGTCTGTGCAAGAAGAGTCTCTAGGTGAAGAGTCTCTGGGTGAAAAGTATATGGGTGAAAAGTCTGTGGGTGAAAAGTATGTGGGTGAAAAGCCTGTGGGGGAAAAGTATATGGGGAACAGTCTGTGGGTGAGAAGTATATGGTTGATCCGTCTGTGGGTGAAAAGTATATGGGTGAAAAGTCAGTGGGTGAAAAGTCTGTGGGTGAAAAGCCTGTGGGGGGAAAGTATATGGGGGAAAAGCCTGTGGGTGAGAAGTATATGGTTGATCCGTCTGTGGGTGAAAAGTATATGGGTGAGAAGTCTGTGGGTGAAAAATGGTTGGGGGAAAATAGGGGTAGATGGGATGCTGGCTTTTGTTTCCCCCTTCTCAGGTTTACTGGTATGCTTCTGACTTTGAAACTTGCAGCTCCAAGGAACGCATACGGCCCAGATTTCCAGATGGTTCAGATGTGGCACCTTGGTTGCAGGTTAGTCTACCTAAACAGAATATTCACATTTGTATTCACTTGGAATTCGGTATCACCGTTCAGCATCACAGCAAGTATAGCAGCATCATTCAACCGAGCAAAACCAATTCTTTGATCCTATGCTCCTGTCAGGAGGTGTACCGTGGTGTGAAGCTCGGCTGGTTTCCCGGCGTCCGGGGCTCAGCTTCCATTTCTGAAGATTTATTCTCCAGGTCCTCCACACCGTCAACACTTTTGATGCCGCAAATGGGTTGATCAAGGGGATGAGTGAAAACCTATGAAATATCAGATTTTGATATATATATATAGATACACAATTATATATATATAGATAATCTTTATATTTCTTCGGGATGAATCCACTATAAATCCCAGTTATTTTGGTGTTCACCAGGGGCCCCCAAGGTTTTCATCCATAGCCAGGTGGTGAAGGCTAGCAGCGTCGACAACACAGAGGCATGGCCAGACGTTGTGGTTGAGAGGCCTGCCAGCAGGAAGAACTGCCCTGGAGACCTTGTTCATCTCCACCCCCAAACGGGGTAACGATGGAAAATCCACATATAAATGGAGGTATAAATTGGAAAGGCAGCATCTATAAATGGGGGATTTACAATTGCCACGTTTGATTACAAGACGGTAAGTCATGATGATTGGTATGAATGATGATGAATGATGATGAATGATGATTAATGATGATTAATGTTGACGAATGACATATATAAATGGTGATGAACGGTAGAAATTATGGTACCATATTAGTGTATATTGTCCCCCACAAATATTTGGTGATGTTGTCTGGAGCATGCGGGGCCACATTTTGATCCACTGCAACGGGCCTCACAGGATGCCTTGTTGATTTGAACGGCTCAGCTAAGGATGGCAACACATTGGGAATCAGATTCCAAAGAAGAAATGACGTGTCCAAATTGCCATGTTCCTGGGCTGCTTTTATTAATATCGATGTTATATACAGCATACACAAGAAACCTTTTGTGGTGGGCCTTGCCATTTTTAGCTCTTCATGTCATACTTGAAATTTTCGAGAACAAGTCTTTCCTGATGGCTGCCTGTGAGGTTCGAGCTACTCAAAGGCGGCCGTTGCCAGTGAAAAGCAGCACAGAACACACTCTGGAAAAAATATGAGCAGAACAGCTGTGCCGCTGTGCAAAAGGGCGTGAGTGCCACAGCTGTGCTGAGCCGAACTTTGGCTTGGCAAATTCAAAAAAAAATCTGCCCAGGAGATGCGGATCTGTGGATCCGAAATGACCAAGAATTTGGTCAGCATAACTCTTGGAGATTCTCTGTGCAGTGTGCTGTACGGTGCACTGTAGTGTCTCACCTTCTTTTTGCCAATGAGTCTTCAAACCATCCTTTGGCGTAGATAGCTACCTTGCCCGCACTT